ATGTGTCCGCTTACTCTTTTTAGTTTACTGCAATATATGGCTGTTTAGATGGCACAGGATATCACCAACGAGGTTCCATTTTATACGAAAAATAAGTAGGATCAGACTATATCAGTAGAGTGAAATTAATATGGTTAATTTGATTAGAATAAGACCTTTAAATAATAGAACATTTACAATAATTTATCATGGGAAGAGGAGTGACTTTGAAAACTTTCTGTGGCGCATGCATGCTGGATTTCTCATTGGTAAAGTAATTACAGTCATTGGCGAATGTAGAGATTAATCAGTTTTATTTTACAGTAATCATGCATTTCAAATGTGCTCACCTGTTCTGTGATAAGCGGCTATCAACAGTATGCCAGCTAGATTTTTAAACTTATTTTGGAATCATTTTAGATTTATAGAAAAGTCGTGCAGAGCCTAGAGTCCCACATTCCCTTTCCCAGCTTCCCTAACATGAACATCTCACACATACACAGCACGTTTGTCAAAACCAAGAAATTAACATTGGTGCAATGCATTAACTGCAGGCTTCATTCAGATTTCACTCGTTTTTCTAATATTGACGTTTTTTCATCCCAGGATCCAATCCAGGACACCGCATTGTTTTTAGTTTTCATACTTCCTCAGTCTCTTCCAGTCTTCAGCATTTTCTCAGCCTTGCTTTTCTTGACTCTGGCACACTTGAGGCGCACGGGTCAGGTATTTTGTGGATGTCCATCCTTTGGGGTTTTATTAATGTTTCCTCATGATTCGAGTGGGGCTATGGATTCTGGGGGAAGAAAGCCACAGAGGGGAGGTGCCCTTCTCTCACGTCCCACAGCGGGGCCTGCCTCCTCCCTGGTGAGGTCAACCTCGATCACTTGGCTAAGATGGAGTCCACCGGGTTTCTTCAGCAGCAAGTCACCATTTTCCCCTTTCTGTGTTCTCTCTGCGGGAAGCAAGTCGGTCAGTCCAGCCCCTACTCACAGGGTGGAGAATTAGGCTCCGTTTCCTGGAGGGGGATTATCTACACTGACTACTTAGAATTCTTCCGTGAGACAGACTTTCTTGTCCTCAGATGTTTATTTATTCAATCATTTATTTATATCAGCATGTCCTCATACATATATTTATTTTATTCTCTGAGTTAGAACCCAGTGCTATCGTGAGTTATTTTGTTGCGCGATTGTCCCAGTTTGGGCCACCGAGAGTCTTTTCAGTTTGTTCCTGTGTCTCTTTGATATGTGCCTCCCCGACCCGCAGCGTATTATTCTCTGCACCAACAAAATACTCCAAGCTAATTTTGCATTTTCTGGGACTCAGTCCTGAAATCAGCTTATTTCTAAGGAGTCCTGGCTCCTTTGACTGGAGAATGAAATTTGAAGCAAGTCTGTGTGTTGAGAGTGCTCATTGCTACTGGAGTGCCACTGCTTCTAGATGGACAGATTTATATTCATGTCTCAACTCTAATCCAGTATCACAGAGTTCAATTCTAGTCTTTCTCTTTTGCTTATTTTTAACTTCTCTCTCTGACAGTGTGAAATCTGGCTCCCATTATCTGCAATTTTTTTTTCCCTCATTTGTTTAATGCTAGTTTACATGTAGTTTCAGAATTGCTAGCACTTACCCAAATGAGAAGGGAATTCAACTGGAGTATAGTGTTTATGTACAGATTGTTTTGTCCGTAGACTTTAAATATTCAGTCAAAACACTATTTTTTAAAGTTACCTGGATCCACATCTCTTTTCCCACTCTTTCAGCAAGGTTATGTCATACATTTATAATACTGTTGGGTCTTTTCGTCACAGACTGAATTCTATCCTGGTATTCCCCAACATCCTGGATGATTTTTTAAAGTTTGCATACAATGAAGTTCCCCCGTTGTTGTATATGTGTCTGTGGGTTTTGACAAATTTGTGAAGCCATGTATCCACTCCCCGAGACCATAGAGAACAGTTCCATTGACCTAAAATAAAATAGAACACGTGTGGTTCCTTTGTAGTCAATTTCTCCTCTGACCCTTGACAATCACTGAACTGTTTTCCATCCCCATAAATTTTGCCTTTTCTATAATGTCACATATATGGAATTTTATAATACGTAATACGTCGTCTTTTGGGTCTGGCTTCTTTTACTTAGCAAAATGCATTTAAGATTCATTCACGTTGTTGCGGGAATGAAATGACTCATTCCTTTAATTACTGAGCAGTATTCCATTGTATGGATTAGACACAGTTTTTAAATACATTTGCCTCTTGAAGGTCATCTTGGTTGCTTCTAATTTTTAGTGATTATGAATACAGCTTCTGTAAACATGGGTTAGCTTGTTTTTGTGTGAACGTAAGTTTTTGATTCACTTGAACAAATACGTAGGAGTGTGTTGTCAGTTTATACGACAAGTCTATGTTTAATTTTATGAGAAACTGCCAAACTGTTTTCCAAAGTGACTGTACCATTTTACATTTCCACCAGTGATAAATCGGAGTTCTTACGGTTCTGTGTCTTCAGCATTTGGTGTCATCTAATTTATTTTAGCAATTCTAATTAGTGAGAAGTGATATCTAATTGTGGTTTTAATTTACACTTCCCTGGTAACAATGATATTAATCATGTTTTCATATGCTTATTTGTCATCTATATAACTTCTTTGAGGTGTCTGGTCAAATCATTTGCTTATTTTTTAATTGGGTCATATGCTTACTTGTGGTTGAATTTCAAGAGTCCTTTATATATTCTGAATACAAGGCTTTTATCAGACATTGAGTTGTAAATATTTCTTCCAATCTGTAGCTAGTCTTTTCATTCTGTTAACAATGTCTTAAAAAGGGCAAAATATTTAAATTTTGATCGAGTCCAACTAATCGTTTTGTTATTGTTATTGTTCCTTTCATGGGTTGTGCTTTTGGTGTTGTATCTAAAATTTCATTGCCAAACCCAAGGTCCTGCACATTTTCTATGTTTACTTAAAAATTTTCATTGTGTCGCTTTTTACATTTAGGGTTTTGATCCATTTTGAATTAATTTTTATATGAGATATAAGGTATGTATTCTTCAATATACCTTGTTTTATTTTTGTTGTTGTTTCTGTTGTTTTGCGTATAGACAGTCTTATTTTTGTACCATTTGTTGAAGGGAACATCATCTTTCCATTGAATTTAATTTGCGTCTTTATAAAACGTTAGTTGACTACACATTTGCAGCTCTATTTCTGGGCTCTCTATTTTGGTCCACTGTTCTATGTGTCTATCTTTCCGCAAATATCATTCTGTCCTCATTACTACAGCTTTACATTAAGTCCTAAAATCAAGCAGTATGAGTCCTTCAATTTTGTTCTAAATACCTTTGCCTATTCTAGTCCCTTTGCCTTTTCATATAAATTTTAGGATCCTCTTATTGATATTTCCAAACAATTTTCTGGGATTTTAAATGGAATTCAATTAAATCTATAGATTAAATCTTAATAATATTGAATCTTCAAATTCATGAATATGGTATATCTTTTCATTTACTCAGGTCTTCTTTGATTTTTCATTTATCTTATAGTTGTCAGCATATATATTCTGCACACATTTTGTTAGGTTTAAATTTAAATACTTCATTTGTGTTTGTGTACTATTGTAAATGTTTCTTTTTGTTTCATATTCTCATTTTCTGTTTTTAGTATATAAGAATGTAATGGCTTTTATATATTTACCTCATTATCTGAAAACTTGCTAAACAAGCATTTTTGAAAAAGAAAAAGACAGTCTGTCTCTATTTTCTCACTGATTGTAAAATCCCTATTTCAAAGCATTTTGAAAAAGATGTTTGAAGAAAAACCTATACATTTTCTTATATTATAGACAGTTCACAAGAAAAGATCCACAAATGGCTTCTAAAGATTAAAAAAAGATGCTCAAGCAACTTGAAATAACAAAAGCTGAAATTGAAACTCTGCCGAAAACTTACGTTTCATCTCTGATATTGACAAATATTGAAACATTTGATGACACAGTGTACTATCTTCCTGATACAAGCCCATGTGAAAGGCAATTTGGCAAATATCTAGCAAAATTACAAAATTATACCCTTTGATCCAGCAAGACATTCTTGCAAAGGTAAATGACACATGTATAAAATTACTGGTTGTAATATGTTTATAATAGAAGAATAAAATAGACTAAGTGTGCATCAATATGAAATTGGCCAAGTATGTTACGTTGTATCTGCACAATGTAATGCTATATGAACTTAAAAATACATTTCAACAAAACCTTTGCATTACTGGCAGATGGATTTTAAGAAAATGTAATGATTAGTTAGGTGCAGCCAACAATAAAGTTCTACTTAGATCTACATATTCCAATGAGAATTCATTTCAAATGTGTCACTAAATCTGAACATTGAAATAAATAGACCTCAAAAACAGCTCTTTAGTTATTGATTCGCAAGATGTTAGGCCAAATTTTTTTAAAATGATGAAATCATATTACAAAAATATTTTATTAATAATAATTTGACTATAGTAGATAAATGTGCTGTTAATATATTTTAATGTCAATTTCACCTCTATGTTGCTCATTTTCAAATTTTAGTTTTGTGTATGTTGATAATTTATGTAGCATATTAGTACAGAGGTACAGAAGTATGATTTATAATGTAATATACATCTAAAGGGGACACATGCTTAACCTTGTTTATTAATGGAGTCTGTGATAAAGTTTGCAGACTGTTGACTTAGAGAAGAGCTCTCACTTGGATGGGAGGCCCTGGCCAAGCTGTGTAGTGAGGAGGCTGTTGAGGGGAAGAGAGAAAAAATGAAGGTTTTAAGGCCCAGAAGACAGTTATCACCTGCCTCAGAACACAAGCGAGCAGGATAACATGGCCTTTAGTCCCAGGAAGTAGAATTCTAGCATCTCTAGGTGGTGAGAAACAAAGGTGTTAAGAATTTTTCTTTCTCTAACATTCTAATGAAAGGTTCTTGAGCTAGGAAAGGATTACTCGTGCCTTGTAGGAATCAGACATGGCTTCAGGGGATGCGGGAAGCTCACCTGAGCTGCCAGTCACAGACTGAGTAAGTAGAGCGTGCTTCTTCCGCAGACTCGCCTGAGAAGTCAGCCTCTGGGGCAGGCACCAGGAATCTGCATTTTCAGTAAGGCCTAAATTACTCTGATGCCACCCGTCCCAGAGAACCAGCAATGGCAGGTTCTTGAAGGATGTAGAACATGATGCTTGGGGTTACTATTGCTGTGGGTTTTCTTTTGACTTGTTTGAGATCAGTAACATTCTAAGTCAGGGGATGGAAACCCACTTTATTTGTAAGCTGTGCATTTTTTTTGTTTTGTTTTGTTTTTTTGAGACAGGGTCCCACTCTGCTGCCCAGGCTGGAGTTCAGTGGCACAATCACAGGTCACTACAGCCTCAACCTCCAAGCCTCAAACAATCCTCCCACCTCAGCCTCCCAAGTAGTTAGGACCACAGGCACACACCACCATACCTGGCTGATTTTTGTATATTTTGTAGAGACAGGGGTCTACCTTTGTTGCCCAGGCTGGTCTCAAACTCCTGGCTTCAAGTGATCTGCCTGTCTGAGCCTCACAAAGTGCTGGGATTATAGGCATCAGCCACCATGCCCAGCCTAAGCTCTGCGTCTTAAACCTCGTTTGTCTGCCTCTCACAGCTTAACACAATGCTGTATGCCACGGACTGGCATGCTTTCTCTGAAAAGGGCCAGATAATAATATGTTAGGCTTTGTGGTCCATACAGTGTCTAACACAACTACTCAACTCTGCTGCTGTAGTTGGAAATCAGCCATCAATATATTACCAAATGGGTGTAGCTGTGTTTTGATAAAACTTTACATACAAAAGCAGGCCTGGTTTGCCCACCTTGCTATTCACATTTGTAATGTACATACCCCTCATGAAGTGCAGTTTCTTACCTTATTGCTTAGTCACCTTAGAGCCCTGCTTGTTACTCAGGGTGATGGCCTTGCTGATGAATACTAGCCCTGTTTTGGGCCTAGGCTTTCAATGCAGGAATCCAGCCCCAGGGAAAGAAACCAGTGACTGGAGAAGTTTCTAGGCATATGCAGAAAATGACACGGGATGAACACATGGATGAACATCCAGTTCAGGATCCCAAGCAGGTGTCAGAAATTTCACTTCACCTTATTCCAGCAAGGCTGTCGTGTTTGGGGAAGACATCATTCCAAGAGTGGAAGAGCCTTTGTGGGAAATGAGGAGGCAGCAGGAGACGGCGCTCTTGATCCTACTGCCATTTCACATGGTTCTGGGGGGCCCTCTTGATGCCCCTCTGCTCCCCCAGGCGCTGTGCTCTTTTCCTGAGGCATCGTCATCCATCCATCCTGCTCCCCAGTCAGGTGCCAGGCTTTTAGGAGGCCCCCAAGCACTGGTGGTGAAGCCCAGCAAAACAGTGCATTTGCAATCTCAGATAAAACATTGGTATTTTGGAAGCAACATGCCCACATTTGGAAATGAATCAAGAAAAGAAAATGAAAGATTAGGTGCTTCATCTTCACCCTTCAATAAACCCCCAAACAATAAACCTTCAAGTTGTCCATACAGCCCCATGGGTCTTTCATCTCTGGATGAAATGGGGTGTCTATTTCTACACATCCAGCTGATCCTTGAACAAATGCAGGGTTCAGGGGCGGGTGCCAAACCTGCCCAGCTGAAAATCTGCATGTAACTTTCAACTCCCCAGAAACTTAACGACTCATAGCCTACTGCTGACTGGAAGCCTTACCGATAACATAAACAGCCAATAAGCACATATTTTATGTTCTATGTCTTCTGTACTGTACTCTTACAATAAAGTAAGCTAGAGAAAAGAAAATGTTATTTAAAAAGCATAAGGAAGAGCAGACACGTTTACTCTTAGTTAAGTGGAAGTGGGTGATCGTCAAGTCCTTCATCCCGGTTGTCTTGGCACTGAGCAGGCTGAGGCGTGGGAGGAAGGGGAGGGGTTGGTCTTGCTGTCTCAGGGGTGGCAGAGGCAGAAGAAAATTCCCAAAAAATGAACCCACACAGTTCAAAGCCATGTGTTCAAGGGTCCGTGGTATAGGGAATGTTTCACCCTTGTATTCTATTTTCTATTCCTAGAATTCAAATAGAAATCCTAAAAGTTTCACCTGGATGTGTATTAAGGAGGGTTAATTTTTTCACTTGCTGAATCCTGAGAACACAGCGCTGACTTGGAAGTCACTGTAGGGAAAAGCATTAGGGAAAGAGCCTGTAGTCGCGTTCCTTCCCTGCACTGTGGAGTGGCCAGTTTTCCCTGATGGTGGCTCTGAATGACCAAAGTGACAGGCAGCATCTAGGCAGGGCTGTGCACAGTCTCCACCACTGGATTTCAGAGTTCCCGAATCAAGATCGTCTGACCCGGTCTCCTGCTCTTTGGCAGGTTCTGTCTCCAGCAGGCTTTGAGGATGAAGGCTGCGGGCCTTTTGACCCTGATTGGCTGCTTGGTCACAGGCGCCGAGTCCAAAATCTACACTCGCTGCAAACTGGCAAAAATATTCTCGAGGGCTGGCCTGGACAATTACTGGGGCTTCAGCCTTGGAAACTGTGAGATTCTTTCTTTTCGGATTTCTTTCTGTCCTTGACCTCTGCCCTGAGATGCTGAAGGTCCCGGCCACACTCCCTGCTGCGTCTTTCCAGCGGTCCATGCCCTGCCCACACCGCACCCAGGGCTGGCTGCTAGCCTAACTGTGGCTCTCTGGGTCTCCTCTCCTTCCTCCCCTGCCCCTGATTTCCTTATTCCTGGAGTCCTGTCCTCAGGACACCATCAGGGAAGGGAAAATAATGCCACTTCTGCTGGCACTGTGGGGAGGGCACCTGACTTTTGTCTAGGCTCAGCTCCTAACTGGGTGTCCAGCTTCAGGTGCCCCCTCCCAGCCCCCATGTGCCCCTCAGGGTGCCCGCCTGTCCTGCCCCGCCCCGAGGTGTGTTGGGAGGAAGCAGTCAGGGAACCGCGATCGGGAAACGCACCCTCAGACCAGGCTTAGAGCAAGCGATGCACTTCTTTTGCTGGCGTTTCTGGCTTTGCCCCTCCAGGGATCTGCATGGCATATTATGAGAGCGGCTACAACACCACGGCCCAGACGGTCCTGGATGACGGCAGCATCGACTACGGCATCTTCCAGATCAACAGCTTCACCTGGTGCAGACAAGGAAAGCTGCAGGAGCAGAACCACTGCCACGTCCCCTGCTCAGGTGAGGCTCTGACTTTCCAGTGAGCTCCAGGGAGAAAGCCGGCAATGGGATCGCCACCCACGTTTTACTCTAACTAAAATGTGGAGTTCAGACTTGCAAATAGTTCTGTTCCAGATTGGTAAATTATGCAACAGTTTCCAAAGTGGCACTCAGGATCCTGTGGTTGACTTGTCCAAAGATGACTTATTCCATGTAGGAGAGTTTTTATGAAGCCCTCCACTAAACCAGGGGAATGGACAAACGACCCTACTGCCCTTTCAGGTTACAGGTATTTGATGTCTCCAGTAAGAAAAAGGAAGCTGCCTGCCAGCTGCTTTCCATAAGCAATTCGCTCAAAGGATGCAGTTTGTAATTCTTTGTGCATATTGAGATGAATACACTTTATGTTTCTTTCTTTCTTTTTTTTTTTTTGAGACAGTGTCTCACTCTGTTGCCTAGGCTGGAATGCCGTGGTGTGATTACAGCTCATCGTAGTCTTGCCCTCTAGGGCCCAAGCAATCCTCCCTCCTCTGGGTAGCTAGAACTACAGGCACAGGCCTGACTGTTTTTAAATTTTTTTGTAGAGACATAATTTGGCTATGGAGTCTTGCTATGGAGTCCCACCTAGGCTGGTCTTGAACTCCTGGCCTAAGGAGATCCTCCTGCCTCGGCATCTCAGAGTGCTAGAATTATAGATGTGGGCCACTATATTTAGCTCGCCACATGTCTTAAATTAAACTAGAACTCACTTCCACGTTTTTTACTTTAGTCATTCTAGAAATCCATATGAGTACAGCATTGAGGATAACAAAATATGTCAGGCATGAATTCTGCTTTACCAAACTTCCATGTGACATGAAAGAGAAGAGAATATGTGCTTACATGAAGCTAAATGATGTGAGCAGGAGTGCACTGAGTGTCATGGGCTTCAGAGGAAAGTAACGGTATTAACAAACCATGGAAAGTTCTGTAAACATGGTGATATTTGACCTGAGACTTAGAAGATGGGAAAGATTTGACTAAAGAGAGAGAAAAGCTATCCCAGGCCAGGGGAACAGCAAAAGCAAAGAGGTGCCTGTAGGAGGGTGCGGGGCGTGAGCAGAGAGTAAGGAGAGGCTCATCCTTCTGTAACAAAGTGACCTGAAGAGGAATCACCAGAAAGGCAGGTGGAGAGGCTAATGACCACCTGAGCGTGAAGGGCCTGGAGAGCCCGGCTAAGAGGCTTGCACTGATTTCTGCCTGCAAGAGGAAGCCAAGAGAGGTCAGTTAAGTAAGCCCTGCTTCAGCAGGATCAATCTGCAAGAGGGGTGTGGGACGGATTAAAGCAGAGGCCATTTAAGTGTCACTGCAGTTACTGAGCGAAGTGCCACAAAAAGACTGAATGACGGTCACAGTTGGTGACAGAAGACTGAAGCCAGAGATGCTGAACAGACAGAGGACAGAGCTCAGTTGAAGTCATCTTCTCTGTGCTCCCTCTAGAGTGTAAGTCCTCTGCGGGCAGAGAGTTCTGTTTCATTCACTGATGTATCCTCAATGCCTAGAATGGCGTCTGGTCATTGCAGGAGCTCAGTAAATGTTTATTGAATAAATGGAGAGAATGAGGAACAAGAGTGAAGTCAGAGAGAGAGTCATAAAATATTCTATTGCAAATTCTTTCAGGACAGAAAATAAACTATTTTAACTTCTCTTTGCCACATCCAGGAGTCCCCCACTTATTGAAGGGGGAATATATCCCAAGATTCCCAGTTGATGCTGTAACTGCAGATAATATCTAACCCTGTATATACTGTAATTTTTTCTATACATAGATACTGATGACAAAGCATAAATTATAAATTAGTCACACTAAGATGTTATCAACAATCAATAGTAATGGGATAATTATAACAATATGCTGTAATAAAAGGTATGTCAGTGCTTTCTCTCTCTTACTCTCAAAATGTTATATTAATAAAAATAACCAACCACTTTTGACTGTAAATGAAAATTTGGAAAATGAAGTAATCAGCATATGGGTTTAAATGTTTGAATGATTGAATAACATGTCAGTTTACCTAGTACATTGTCCCTACGCTAACATTAATAAAGAATGATCACTACCTCCTGAGATACATCTCCTGATTATTAGTCAGCCTTTAATTTAGAACATTCCTTTGTTAGGCCAAAATCTGTCTTTTTCTAGCCTTCTATACCAATCCTAGTTTTTCCTCCTGGGTTTATTCAAAACAAATTTGCTTTACGTTACACATAAAAACGTATTAACTGTATGCAAATGATTTATAAGTATCTCTCATCTCCAGTTTCTTATCTTCTGAGCTAAAACATTCAGTATATTCACTTTCCCATAGGCATGACTTTTGAACCCTTCCCTGTCCTGGTCAATCTTATTAGCCTTCCCTAAGAGCTCACCAATGGAGTCTCTCAGTCAAATATGAGGATTAAATGTGTGCATTTAACTCCCATGGTGGGCTGACCCCACCTTCCAAATGTCCACTCTCTAATCTCTGAAACTTCTCACTCTGTTATCTTACATGACAAAAGGAGGTTTGCAGATGTGAGGAAGGATCTGAGCTTCGGCAGGGGAGATTATCCCTGACCATGTGGGTGAGCCAATCTAATCTTATGAGTCTTTAAAAGCAGAGAATCTTGCCCAGCTGTGGTCAGAGACAGATCCAATGACAGAAGAAGGAAGAGAGATTCAGAGTGTGAGAGGGTCTCGACCCACCATTGCTGGCTGTGAAGATGGAGTAAGGAGCCGTGAGTCAAGGGATGTGAGTGGTCCCTAGAAGCTGGGAATGGCCCTCAGGTGACAACCTGCAAGCAACAGGGATCTCAGTTCAACGCCCACAAAGAGCTGAACTCTCCTGAATCCCAAATGAGCCCAGAGCCTCCAGAATGGAAAACACACCTGTCAGCACCTTGACTTCAGCCCTGTGAATCCCCGTCACTCTTCCAGCCTAGAGAGCTGTCAGCAAATTCTGCGGTGTTTAAGCCGCTAAGTTTGTGGTAATTTGTTAGGGCAGCAATAGAAACCCAACACACCTCTCCTCCCTCTTGGGGTCCTACTAAATTAACACTAAAGGGGTTCAAGAATCAATAAGATAAAAAGACAAATCCACAAATACAGGATAAATGGAAGAGGAAACTATACCAAAACATTTAGAAGCTGGAAAGCAGAAGGCAAGTGGTGACTAATTTAGTGATTCAAGAAATCTAAATCCTAAACCAGCAGTGGGAAATCTGAGACGCAAACACGGAACCAACACAACAACAAAGCTCAGAAATCAGTAGCATCTGCTACGTCTGGAAGTTGGAGTGAAGATAAATTTAAAGTTCCATTAAGGAATAGTTAGAAAATCCAATTCCTTCCTGAGGCATTCATCTACTGACTGCTCCTCACCCTGGCAGAATACTGAGACTTCTCCCTCTAGGTGAGTGAAGTGGAAAACCTCTCAACTGAGAGACCTCAACAGCCTTTGAGGGCGAGAGCTCCAGACCACAGACATGGGAAATTAAGTTATAGTTTCTGTAGTCCCAACCACCTTCTCCACTCAGATTTCACAATGATAGCAGCCAGGACTGACTTCCCAGATGAGATTTTCTTCTAGAGATCTGGCCAAATTGAAAAGAAATAACCAATGATTCTGAGTGGAACTCCCCAGTGAACAAGACTGGTCAAACCTCCCTGCAGTGAGATCTGCAGTTGAAAATCCCCACCTCTGAGCACAGGGCTCTACCAGCTTTTAGTGTCCCTCTCTTAAATGGTTGCAGAGAGCCAGGGATCACCAGACTTCAGAGGAATGACAGTGACATGAAAAAAATGAGGCAAAAACCAAACAGATAAAAGTTTTTGGGCCGGGCGCGGTGGCTCACGCCTGTAATCCCAGCACTTTGGGAGGCCGAGGTGGGTGGATCACGAGGTCAGGAGATCAAGACCATCCTGGTCAACATGGTGAAACCCCATCTCTACTAGAAATACAAAAAATTAGCTGGGCACGGTGGCACATGCCTGTAGTCCCAGCTACTCAGGAGGCTGAGGCAGGAGAATTGCTTGAACCCAGGAGGCAGAGGTTGCGGTGAGCCGAGATCACGCCATTGCACTCCAGCCTGGGTAACAAGAAAGAAACTCCATCTCAA